GCAGTGTACAAGCGCACCAAGTGAGACGAGAAGAGCGCGTGCGCGCGCAGCACGATTCCGATCATGTGTTTGTAGTAGAGCGATGAGCGATCAAGAAAATCAGGGCGTCTGCCGCCATGCTACGTTGCGCGCGCACTTCTCCGACCCGTGGATGACGTCTGATCTGATTGTATTTTGAAAGTGTCATGTGCGTATGGTGGTGTCAGCCTGGCTAGTCTCTCGCAAATAGGAGCAGAGAGGCGGTGCACAGGCCGAGGAAAAAAGTACAGTGACTGGGTGCGAGGCGTGTTGGGGATGGGCATGGCGAGGATGTGCGAGGCGGGACGGCGCAGCGCAGCGCAACACATCAAGCCTCGACCTCGACAATGGTGCTCTTTTGGGCACAGTAGATGCCGTCCAAGAACTTTCGGATATCCTTGTTCTTCACCAGGCACTGTCCGTGGAGCAGGGCAGCGGATTGAGAGACGGCTTCAATGTCGTTGCCCTCGACCAAGACTTGGTCCTTTTGCGCAGGGTCTTCCCTGATAGAGACACCCTCGGCCATGACTGCGTGACGAACTCGCTTCTCCCCAAGGAAGTTGCGCACCTCGCAAGACTTCTTGTCGCCGGCGACGATGACTAGAGAGGCAGTGTACTGGTCAGCAAGCACAGCCCTTGTGTAGTCGAAGCACAATCTACAGCGACTCACTGTTGATGGGGAAATGTGCGTAGACTGCACGCATCTTGTACTGTGGGTGGATCACGAGCAAGTGCCTCCTCAGACGCAATCCTTCAGCCGCATCCCACCTCCGCACCTTACTCACCTGGAATCCCACAGTGACACCCTTGATCATGTTGGCAAAGACTGCCTTGGCGGTACGCAGGCAAGCAACGTGCTTGCGTGCTCCGTGCCACACGATGAACTTGAGCTTTTCACCCTTGCTGCTCTTGACATGACGAATGTCCATGGCCATGTGGCGCACATCCTGTTGCGACGCGATGCAGCAGAGTGTCAGCAAAGCTTGCGCGACAAGCTTGCGC